AGTTTCAAATTAGATGCATGTAAAAACATCATTTTAAATATATTTTGCATCTGCTATATTTCTTTGCACAGTAAGCATTTAATTCACTACCAGTGCTCATCTATGGTCCAGTGTGATTTTCATCACTATCATTATGCCTATTAGATCCGTAATTATTTTCCGTTTGTTTTGTGTTGTAAAAAATGTGCCTTGAACAAAGAAAATGTTTATAACATTTATAAATTATTATAATCAACTTATATGTAATTATACTTTGATGGTTTTTCTGTTATTATGGATATGTAATTATAATTTGGTGGTTTTTCTGTTATTATCCATTAGTGTATCCTATTTGTCTTTTAGCCAAATATATCATATATATATTTAGCCATATATCATTTGACTACTTGCTTCTTCATCAGAAAGTTGGATTTCATATTAAGCTTTATATTTTTGATATAATATAAAAATACATACAATTTATATTATTCACCAGTTTATTTTCATTCACTCTACACTTTCTGTGTTGTCTTTTACGTTAATTGCATAAACTAAGATAAAAAGCAGGTTATAAGTGTCTCTTACTCACTAAAGTTTGTGATTGAATGATATGCATCAAAATGGTTTAATATAAAAGAAAAAATATTGTGAAAATCAGTCAGTAGAAATTATTAATGTAGCAGCTCATTCATACATTTAATTTTAATGACATAGCTAAAACTGAATGTGAAATGATTAGTATTGTAATGTATTAAAACTTAGCAGTTCAATTTCCTTTTTTTTTCAAATATTTCTGCACTACTACATTAAACTACTTTTTAACAGGTGAGTATGTACACTATTCATATTCACTTGTATTTGAAAGTATTTTGGGAACTAAAGAAAACTAATACAGAGTGATGAATAAGCAGGTTTCACTAATTTCACATTAATTCTACTTTGTCACCTGATCACATTTGACCATTGACTACCAGATAATGAAAATATTCCTCAACTGTGTCTGCATTAGATAATTCAGTGAGTGAAATAACATGATGAACTGTTGTAGTTTTTACTAAGTTTTACTGAATTAATTCTGTGAGTGAAAAATTCTACACTGTGGAATTTGCACTCAGTATCCCATATATTTACTGAGCAGTGTGTACTTCCTTTTGTGTAATGAGTATTCTCAAAAAAAGTATTTTATCTTTTCAGTATATGATTTAATAAAAGTTTCTGCCAAACTGATGAAATGCAACAGTTAAAAAAAATACCTAATGAAGTTTTTAAAATTTCCTAATTAAAAAAGATCATTATGTAATGCTCTTAAGTAGTGACAAATAACTTTATATTACGTTAATCCTTTTTCTGCATTGTGCTGTAGGACCTACAGTATATCTGTTTTGTAAGTGTGCATATATTCAGCAGGATAACATACATTCACAGAAGTTCTGGAATAAATTCTGGGGCTTCTTTGACATTTACTGTTTTATTCTGCAACTGTATGTTGGTGTTTAGCCATGATAAACTTGGAAAAGAAAACAGGATAAACTTTTAAAAAACGTTTTCACTCCATGTAATCCCAGAAATGTCAAAAGTGTGAATGCATGATGGAGAATCTCCAAGGTTTATCACAAGGTTTTGAATACTGGATACATGTAAGGTATGTGCTGTAACATATAACGAGATGAAAAAATTACATACTAAAAAATGTAACACAATTGATCTTTAAGTGCTATCAAAAGATAATTGGATATGTCATGAAACAAAAGATCCTATCATGAAAGCACGAAAAACCTGTTTTAGTGGTTGTAAAACTATGTAGCAAAGTAACACCACGTTGTGTAAAAATTACCCCCCCCCCCCAAGAAAAAAAACTTACACAGAGACTGTATTTAAGATGTTAATAGTGACTCTTCAAAAAAATATAATTCCATGGGAAGTTTAATACCCAGAATTCGACAATCACATATAATGTTGTGTGTTTGGTTTAAATAACACATATTATAAAATTGACTGCAAAATTTCTATATAAATGAAGAAATACAATAAATCTTTGCCACATCATTCCCAAGTTTATTGTCAATGACTACATAAATGTGAATGGATATTTGCTTTCATCTGCAAAATAAAAATATCTTATATAGGTGTCTAGAATTTTGTAAAAGCTGTGCTACCTGTAGTACTACTATAATTTACTAATTTTAAAATGTAGGGGCATTAGAAGTTTCCAAATTTAATTGATAAACATTAATATTTATAAAACTAAAATGTCACTGTTTCTGGAACGATACCTCTTCTCACGTAATAGCTTTTCTCAACTTGTATGGTTCTCTATATGTGCAATTTTTGCTCACCACTAGCCTTCATGTTATCACCTATAATCATATAATTTCCCATGTATAACTGCACTGTAGCATGCAAATGACCATGTGACACACCCTCCCAGTGCAGCATACTCCTTCTATACTGTAGAGCACTATCATCACTTCTCAGTTTGTCATTTCAGTGTGCAGTCATGCTCAATTTTTGCTTTGTACTTACAATTCTTGTGTGTGCACTTTCAGTTAATTCTACTGTGTTTCGACCACTCTTAGTTTGTTGTCATTTATTTTCTGCTTGCTTAGTATTTGTGGAATATGTTTCTCTTTCATTTCCTCATAATGAAATCTCTGTTTAATGACTTCTGTTATGATCCACCACCACTAATTACTTCTGTGGCTTTGAGCTCCACACTTTCTGCAGGAATCTGGTCCTGATGAATAGCATTTGGACAAACTTTTCCCACCTACAGCCTTTGCTGTGCCATCCCATGCTATTCCTCTGGACTTCCCTAATCCTTTGTTGGCTTTTTTTGGACATGATTTCCCAGGTACCTTACCTATTGTCTCTTAACCCTGTGTCTTATTATTCCTTCTCTCCCCCCCTCTTTCATTCTGCACCATTATCGGATTATTTCATGTACACACTGAACAGTTTTTTGTTCAATTATGTTTGGGTGCCAACATGCCTTGACCCCATCTTTGTCTGACTTCTATGCCTTGGCTTATCATTGGTTGGAATTTCCATTTTTAGATTCTAGACCTTGGAATCTCTGATTCAGGCATGGGGTTCTGACCCAGAGACAAGACTAAGGTTTAACCAAGCTCAGTTTTCCTGTCTTCATCTCACCCTCGTAACTATTCTCCATTATCTCTTTTCTATCCATATCCTTTTTGAGGCTATCCATTATACCCTGAAGTTTTTTTGGCAGATCCACATACACTTCTCTTTCCCACTTTGTCACGCTTATCTTCCTCAGCCTTATCTCTTCATACATGGCTCCTTTGTATCCTCAATCACTGTACTTGATCTATTTTATGTGTATTCTCATAAACCCTAAGACATCAATGGTGCATCACCTTTACTCCTATTTCCCTCCCCTCCATTTCTCATTTATATTCCCATTCTGATTCTGATCATCTTCCTACCATTGATTCTGTTCCCATCTTTTTATATCATGGAATACTTCTTCTATGCATGGTCTTTCTCCTATCAGCCTTACTAGATGGATTCCCAGCTTATTTGTCTTGCTTATGCAGGATTATCCAAGGATTCTTGTTGCATTTTCCAAGTCTCTTCTCACCAGATATGTCAACTCACCTTTTCCCTGGCTGCCCACTTCCATTGTCTGTTCAGGCTGGCATTTGAACCATGCTTCACACATGTATAGCCTACTTCCTGCATCTGCTCTTCATCTCACTATTGCTGGCCACCTGTTGCCATTCTAAAGACATCATTTCAACTCTGAAAGGGCAAGTTCTTTCTTTTATTTCTTCCCTTTTTGGTGGCTCTTTCTCCTTTCCTGGATCCTGCTCTGTATCGAGTGGTGCCTGTCCAGGTTTACTTAAGTGTAAATCAGCACCATATGTCTGTACAGGTCTGTAAAGCTCATTGAAGAGATGGGGTGTTCTACATATAGAGGGCAGCAGGAGTTGTGAAAAGCTATTATGTGATAAGGGTAAGTATATTGGAAATACATTTTCAATGTAGGAAAATGTTAACTTTTGGTTTATGCCTTTCACTTTTGTCATATTTGTTTTAAATATTTTCTTTACCCATTTTGTTGTAGCTTCTTTCCTTAACAGAACTTAATTTGTTGCAACATCATTTTATGCCACCACACATTAAAGAAGATGCTGCTGTTTGGCAATGGCAACACGAGAAAGAGATGTATCTGGAAGAGTTAAAAGTTTTAAAAAACTAATGACAGAGGTTAGTTTTGGTTGAATTGCCGTGTCAAAGTTTTTAATCATATCAGTTTTGTATATGTTTTAAAGAATCACTAATAAAAGCTACTTTTGATATTAATCTTGAAATATTTATGTTAGTATTAATTTAATTATTAAATATTTCAAATAGTATTTTGATATATATTTGTATGTGAAGCAGGTATAAGATACTGTTTTGAAAGTATGCTTGTAATCTATTATGGAGTTCTCATACTGTATAATTTCATTTTTCAATTATGTAAACATCTTTTGATTTCATTCTTAAAGTTATAGGTTTGGCCCCTTCTGTAAAATCTTCTCATCTATTACATTAATTATACTGATATTATAATTTGAAACACTTTGTACTGAACTTAAATTGCATAATCTATTTTTAAGACTGAAAAAAATTAAACATCTTTATTACACATATTCAAAAAATAATATGTAGTTTAATTAGTGATGCTTATGCAACATGTATGATTGAAATACTATATTATTTTACCAGCTTTATTGAAAATCTGCCACTAATGCGGGAATTTCTGCTACCTACGTCAATCATGTTGCCTTGTTCTTATAAATCATTTTATCTGTGTTTACCTTTATAACATGAATTTTCACGTAGCCAAGGGTTAGCTGCACTTTAAACTTGCTCCTCAACATAAAATATTTATGTTCTACATAATGAAAATATATAATATAGAACTAACTGTTTCTAATACAGTATTAAAAACTATTAATAGCACTTTAGATCAGTTCAATTTTCCTGAATATTTATGCTTATCTTTTCAGGATGTGGCAAATGACAGAGGAAAAGAAATTATTTTACAGGCTCTTTTCAATGTGTTTGGAGAACAGCGAAAGAAACTGACACAAGAAATGGAAAAGCATTTCTGTTATAAAGATCACATTTATGATGAAGTGAAGAAAAAAATAATTGAATTGGTTGGTGTTGTAATGTTGGTCAATCCTTGAAAGCTTTTATTTCTTAAATATAATATTAACTACCTATAGTAACTATTGTATGAAAAACATGTTAGTGGTATTAAATTATTTTTTTTTTCTTGATGGGGTTTCTGTGGGTGATAATTTCAGCAGGCTGGTTTCTAGAAATACTGTAAAATTTTACTGCATTTATTAAACTAGAATTTTTCATACATTCTTCCTAATTAGTTCTTTTTAGAGGTATGTAAAAATAGTTGCTAGACCTCTCTTTTGTTTGTTACAAGTCATTACCCAAGAAGTCTTTTATTGAATACCACAACTAATAAACTAAACTGCATTTATGACAGCCAAAAGTTTATCTGAAATTCTGTTTGTATTTAATACAAGTTATTCAATGTAGTGGTTAAGTCCAGTCCAATGGATTAGTTCTGGTATTGAATGAAAAGACTCCTGAACAGTGATTTATAATAAGCAGACAAAGTAAAGTAGATCTGAAGTGTTATTTTCACATATATCTGGCTAAAAATATGTCAAGGACAAACTATAGGAATGAAAATCCTTGATGCTTTACCAGTTTAAACATTTTACAACACTGAATTTTATCATTACTTGAAACTACCAGTATAATTAGGTCATTGTTAAAAGTTAAACTGATGCTTTAGAGGTAAATATTATATTCTGCAGATTATTTGTTTTGTTTTTTTGTTGTTGTTGAATAGTAAGGCATTCATTCTCTGTAAAGTGCTATAATCAATGTTGTTTTTTTCTAAGAGAAAGCTTCATTCAATTTCTTGACTTTTTTTTTATCTCAAAACTAAAAATCGAAGTTTCATTTTAGGAACTACTCATACTAAAATTTTGTTATGAAATGGTACTACCTCCTTTCACCCAAAGCTATCTCGACCTTGATTTGCTCTCTAAGCATTGTTGCTAAAAAAATTTCACTAATGGTGCACCCGTCTATTATACTCCTTTATTTTTGCACCATTTCATGTGACTACTCTCCACCAATTGTACTGCACCACCTATACTAGCGTAGGTAGCTTCCTCTACTATTCTAGCACAATCCTCACTTTCTCGATTGGCATTACAGTGTATAGACATGTTTACTTCACTTCATGTGATCGAGTTTCAGTCCTTCACCAGTGTTTGCTTTCGAATTTTAGATTTGTTTTTCAAAGAGCCATCATTTGAATTCTAATTTGAAATATGAATTCAAATTTTATGATGGTGGATAACAAATTTCCCGCCAATATTGGGGAGAGTAATGTCACTAGTTCCCAGCAAAGTAGGTTGATGATATCTACCAAGGAAGTTCAAGCAGGGATTTGGACACTTTTGTTCAGCAATCAGTTTGTTCTCCCCTTCCCCCTGAACAAGCTTCTGAGGAAGAATTTCTTCAGATGAAGATAATTTGGACTCTATTTTTCTGGTTCCGGCCTTTTTTGGTCTGTCACATAATGCTGACGATCAGGAGAGTTTGCATACCTTGCTGTTTCTACACTTTATTGATCAGGTATGTCAAATTTTAAATATTTCACCCTTACCCTTTGATTCCTCTCTTACCTTGTTAGATGAAGAACCTCGTTCTGATTATTATGTTTTCTTCCCTCACTCACCATCCATGTTCATACTTAACATTTGCTGATCAATTGCTGTCGGGTGCGGGTATGCCCTGTCCTCCCCAGTTAATGGACCAATATAATTTGGCTTACCAGTGGGCTTTGAATCCCTTTTTGGATTCCCAACATCTGTATCCTCTCTTCCTCTTGTGGGGCTCGAATCTGAGATCTTTGTTCCACTTTAATCAATCTCAGTTTTCTAGGATTTGTCTTGCCCTGACCACTCTTTTGGTATTATTTCTTCATTATAGTTGTTGTCTCAAGCCTTTTGCCAGTCACCTGATAAATTTTCTTATGAATTCAGAATTTTCCTGTTATCTATTCTAGCCAGTTTCTCAGCATCTGCACTGTCTTTCAACACCTGGTTATTATGTTATTGGGATTTGCTGGGGAGAGGCACATTACTTGAATGGGTGCATCTCCCCCTGTCTACTTTGAGGGATCTTTGTCAGGCCATGTTTTATTGTGAAAGAGTTTTTGGGGGTCATCCTGAGTCTTTGAAGTCAAGGGTTGATGTGGCAAGGCTACCTTCCTCCCTGGCATCTTGTTTGTCTCATCCGGCTGTTCCCACCCAAGCTTCACTGTTTCTGTGTCTCTTCTTCCTCTTCCCATCCCTTACCCTATTCCAGGTGTTCCCATCCTTACCCTAATTTTTCTTGTTCCTCCAGGGGTCAGCAGTATAGGCAATAGGATGTATTTTCCAGGGCAGGTGGGGCTAGGTTGCAACAGTTCTCAACTGTTTGGTACATCTTCATGATGGATACGTGGATTCTACGGATTCTGTCAGAGGGTCTTTGCCTTCAGGCAGGTCTTCTCCTTATCCTCTTATCCAGTTTTTTCCTTCCTCCTCAGGATCATGCCTCATCCAGTCATCTCGACAAGGTTGTTTGGTACCTCCTACACAAAGGAGTTATCAAATAGGTTGTGACCACTCATCCAGGATTTTACTCCATTCTAGTTACTTTCCTACCCAAAAACACGGGAGATTGGAGACCCATCATAGATCCGTCCTGACTGAATACCTTTCTGGAGACACCCGAGTTCACTATGGAGTCCTACCTCTCACTTTGGTGGGTTTTTTCTTCAGGATTCTAGATGACCAAGTTTGATGTGACAGACACCTATATTCATATTCCCATAGCTCCAGGGTTATGTCATTTTCTTTAGCTCATCCATGAAAACTGTGTTTTTCAGTTCCATGCACTGCCATTTTGTCTGGCTTCAGCTCCTTATGTGTTCTCTCAAGTGGTTTGCTCATTTGCTGATCATCTTCACTTGCTGGGTTTTCAGACTCATCATTATATGGACAACTGGTTTCTGATTGCCTCTTTCCAGGCCCAATCAGTCTTTGTCTAAAGTAAGTTGACCTGTTATTATTTGGTACCTTTTGCAATTGATATACATCATATTTCAGGATCCCACCTAGTGGTAGGTGTTGCCTGGGGAGGTATGCTGAATATGAGATATTTGCACTAAATCTGTATATTTTTTAATGCACACTGTAAAGATGGGGTGTTTCTGTAAGACCACTGGAAGCTTTTCCGGTGGTATGTATATATATATCAAACTTTTATTATCAATGTATTTTATATAAAGGACTGTCACTGATGGACTTCATGAGTAAAGCAGATGGGGATTTTTGCCCACTGACCCATGATTCTTACAATCTGGGTCTTTCTGCTTTTCAAAATAGGGAATAGCAGATACCCATTGCACAGTCTCCAGTGTGTCACTCCTCTGGACTCCCCAATGCCTAATCTCCCCCCTTTTCTCTTCTAGTGGAGCACGGGAGTCCTTACCACTCCAGTTCCCAGTCACTGGAGTGGTGGACCATGAAGGTTTCCTCCTGAGTGTGGTTGTACAATGAAAGAAATCAAACTCAGTGAGAAGAGGGCTGTTGTCATTATAATTATTGAATAAACAATAACATACTATTCTGGATCCAAGGCATTTTCTCCAGATGTTTTGACCAGGCTGACCACATTTGTTGATCATAATATACATGCTTATGTAAGGCACTTTCATTGGATGTTTCTGCCCATGTTGGACTGCATTTGAACTAATCCTATATATATCCAAGGCACTTCCCTCTGGGCTTTTCCCAGGTGGATTACACTTGTTGATCTCTGTATCATGCAAAGCACTTCCACTGAATGTTTTCTGCCCAGACGGAACTCACTTGGCCATAATGTTATATATCCAAGGCACTTCCACAAGTTATTTTGTGCCTGGGTGGACCACACTTGGTCTATTCATATACAATTTATGGTCCTTTAGCACATAATTCTTCAGACCTGAAGTTGATTGCATATTAGACATTTCATATGTCCACTCTATGTTGATTAACATCATAGTTATACCACACTGCTCCAAAGCAAAGTGCTGTATATCTTTTTCTTGAGTATATGGTGGCTGCCTGTTACATTCCTCCAAAAATATATAACTGTTTCATTACTGGCCAAAGAGCATGCTTGTTCCAGAAGTAGTGCTATACCCCACAAGTGTGCCTTACTTTCTTCCTCTGGCTCACCTGTTCTTTGAAGGTGGTAGCTCTCCGCTTGATTGAATACTGTCAAGCCTTTACTAGCCCCTCCACCTTTGCAATGTGGGATTCTAGCTTTAGATGAGAGGAGGTAGTACCACTTCGTAATTTAACATTTTCTTACACTGAAATTGTATTTCCAATAGGTACTCACCCACTTCCCATCCTCCCTCACCACTGACATGGCAGTGTTTTTAGTTTATACCTGCCAATTCTCGAAAGTGAGGATTGCGCTAGAACAATAGAGGAAGCTACTTGTGCTAGTATAGGTGGTGCAGTATAATTGGTGGAGGGTAGTCACATGATCTGCACATGTTCTGAAATGGTGTGAAAATAAAGGTGTATAATAGACTGGTGCACTATTAGCAAAAACTTTTATATCAATGCTTAGAGGGCAAATCAAGGTTGAGGTAGCTTTGGTGACATGATTGCAGCATGGACACAAGTATTAATACACCACCAGCAATTTTTTTGAATGAGATATTTTGGCTTCAAACAGGAAATAATTGCATATTCATTTGTTCAGTTTGAAGATCACTCTTAGGCTGACTTGGAGATAAGTTGATTGCAGAATGTTCTTGATTTTTCTTTTTAGTTTGATGCCATGAGAACCAGTGAAGGGTAAAACCAAGATGATAGGACATTTGGGAATGTTGAAGTCTTTATTGATAGATTCATAAATACTTTTTTGATGAGCGCTAGAGGGAACGCATTTTTAATTGAATATTTTTTATATTGATAACTTCATCATGAAAATAACAATAAGAGCTAGAAAGTTTAAATGCTTTATGAAATAGAATACTTATTAAATTAAATTTTGCACTATGAATGTGCTAAAATGACAATATAGACCAGAAAATATTGGTTTGTTGTTGTATTTAGTTTTGAACCTGTTGTTCAGATTGTTGACCTCTAGATCTAAAAAAGGCAATTTACATTCTTTTTGTTTTTCAACTGAAAACTTGATATTCCTGTGTTTGGAATTTAAGTAATCTTGAAACTTTTTGACATGTCTCTATTCTCTGAATACAATAAAAGTGTTATCAACATATCTCACATAAACTAAAGGCTTAAGTTCAGATGGAAAGGACTGTAACCAATTAGTTTTGTGATAAGACAAAAATAAATCAGCTAATATGAAAGCAAGTGGTGATCCCATTGCTACACCATTAATTTGATCATGTCTTATTATTAAACACAAACTGAGATTCTTTGGTCGTAATTTCAAGTAGTTTTGTAATTGATTTTTAGTTAAGCTGTTAACCTTAATGTCATCAGGAAATAATAAATCACTGTTTAATTTGATTACTTCATTAAGTGGAATGTTAGTGTATAAGGACTTAATATCCAAACTGGTAAAGAAGACAGATTTATCAAGTTTCAAGGATTTGACGAAATTAGAGAAATTAAAGGATATTTAAGTCATTCTTTGTAAATGGAAGTAATAACTGTGTGTTCTTATGTAAGATACAACATGTCTGATTGGTACACGTGCTTTATGTAACTTAGGCAGACTATAAAGAATAACATTATGTGTTCCCACAGGTCTTAATCTGGTTATATACTTGATCAGAAATGACATTCTTTTTAGGTGTAATAGGAGTCTTTAAAGTTTATTTTCTCTCTGTTGGGTGGGTCTTTATCCAACACTTTAAGCTTGCTGGAGTCATTTAAGATGGCATAGTCTTGGTAGTCTTGTTTATTGAGAATAACAACTTCATTTCCATTGTCCGGATTTAAGGACACTTAAGTATCTAAACTTTTTAAGTATTCAAGGCTGCTTCTTCATTGTTTGACAGATTACTATTATATTTTTTAAGTTGAAAGCATAGAAACCAGATAAAGCTATTCCTGATATTTCTGTGACAAAGTTGTCAAAAGTTGTCATTTTAGTCCAAATGGCCAAAGGTTTTACATTAGTCAGTGATTTACCAAAATTTACAAAGAAATCAGTATATTTGATTTTATCAGAAGTAATTGTGCAGTTCAAACCATGTGACAAAACTCTTTTCTCAAGGTCAGTTAAAACATGATTGGAGAGGTTATTTATGAATTCAGATGGGTTCTCAGCAAACATGGTTATTGGGTACTTGTCTCTTTTTAGCTTGTGTAATTTATTTAATTGGATTAGTTTACACTATAAGTTTTTCTTGTTTTGAGTCTCATGGTTTGTTTTAAATATATGTAATCCAAGTGACTAATATGTTGTTTTAACACTGAGAGTCTGGAAACAAATGATTTAAGTAATTTGATTTTAACTTGTTCTTTTCCAATAACTCTTGGTTTAACAATTTTTATGGGCAACATGGTATTTGGAAAATTTGAAATGCAAAAATTTTAGACATAAATCAAAAGCTGTGCATTCTTTCAGAAACTCAATGTATAATAAGTTATTTTGAAATTTTATATATGATTTTTCAGCATTCCTATATAATTCTAATGTGTAGATAATGGTTTACTGTGACACTAGTGGCAGGTAGGTATTTTGGAAATCTGATTTTTACAATGAACAAAAAACGAGAGTGAGAATGTTTATCATTATAGACACTATGGACGAGGTTAGTACATATATAAGCATAAATATGTGAAATTTTCACTGTAAATCACATAAACATCCAATGTACTTCCACTTCCAACAATCTACTAATATTATTACATATCGAAGATTAAAGATTTACAAGGTACATAAACAGAAAAAGGAAGCCCTAAAACCAAACATAAAACTTTGAAACTTAAAACCAAAGCTGAACAACCAACTAACAATGCCATTGCATCTCAAAATGTGATAAACTTATTAGAGGAGGTTGAATGGATAAAATATGTTATGAGATAGATATGAAAATAAAAAGAACTTCTGTCCACTTATAGCAGTTCAAATATTGGTTTAAATTTGATGGTGTGATGACATTAAAGGGAGAGAATTTTCTACCTTATTTAATTTGGAATTTTAATATAATTCTAGGCTTGTCAGTTTTTGAACCACAAAATTAACGTGTACACAAACTTGGAAAAACAACCTAATTTTTTCTTCAGTTGAAACTACCCAGAAATTATAAGCTTTCTTTATGTAATTGATTAACATTTTTACATTTATGAAACTAACAGCATAATAATAGTGAGTTTCCATAAACACCAATACCGAATGACACATACTTTGAGACATTATTGGAACATACAATCTGCTCTTTTTTCTGAACATCATTCTTTGTTCTGGAAGAGAAATGTAAATGACATATATCATAATGCCTCAGTGACAACAATCATTAGGTGTTTTTTACACAGCTGAACAGACTATTCTAAGTTACATCATTACATTATATACCAAATGTTTGAAAACTCACTTCCTCTGTAGACTACAACCACATTGATTATGTGAAAGATAATGTACACAGTGCAGTGACTCATTCTTATTGTTTTAATATGATTTTGGACAATGGCTTTTACACTTGTAGGTACAATGTAGTGTTACCTTGATGTCATCATAACACTGTGTACATTATTTTCAAATGGTCAGATTTTGAATGTATTGACTTCCACATAAGGTTTTCATCTTGCTTTATATACCATGTGTGGGTGGCTTTTGAAATTCACCTGTCTAGTGTTGATAGGGTTCTTTCTGATAGGTATCCTTTAAACACACACACACATACTGTATTATTTCATTATTTTGTAAGTTGTACTTACATTGAAATAGCATAGATTATTTGCTATTCTTCTAGGACACACCTTACACCAATTTTCGTTGATTCTGAATGTGTTCAAACCTGTTCAAGTTACGTATTTGTCATGTGAATGATATATAATGTATCTTGATATATCCAATGAAATCTCACTCCCCACCAAACTGTGTGTTAATCCAAGGGTCTTAACCACTAATAAAATTTATTCTCTCCTATTTAAATTTTCACTTTATAGCCTTTTTTACAGGTCTTTGTTTGATTAGGGACCTCAGGGTATTTTTATTATCCACAAAAATTATTTTCTATTTTAATTTATTTCCAGACTCCTCCTCCTCCTTTTTTTTTAATGTAAGAAGTCTAGCAATTGCCTTCTCATGTATTTTAAAGTCTACATTTTAGAAGCTATAATGAATTTGAAATAGTTAACTCTGTATGTACACATTTCCTTCTTACAAGTCTATCATAGTAAAAATGAAGTTTCAGGCATAAATGATAAGGAAGATATCCATCTGAGCATGCTTAGATGTATGATTAATTCCTGTTTGTGGAAAAAAAAATTCATAGTTTTACATACATTTGAAGAGTTCATGTGATCCATTACTACATGACAAAAGGGTTTTCAAAAGTGTATGCCAAATGCTTAGCTACTTTTGTGCACCCAGGGATAAGCAACTTTTGAAATTTTATTTAAATTATTGAGCACTTTAATTTTAAACTAAACTTAAAATCATGTTAACATACTGTAATGTTCAAACAATAGAGTCTAACCTTATCTAATCATATTTCCATAAAATATGTGGCCCATGCATTTATAAATATAGCAATATACACAGAAGAAAATCAAATGAAAGAATATTTTTATGTGGCTGGATTGATGGACACAAGCACGAAACAATTTCTTTAAAAATAGTAGAATTTCAACTTCTTAGCCACTGACAAGCCACTCAGTCGAATGAAATTTCAAGAAAGATGCAATAAATGTACCAAAGCAAAACAATATCATGATCCACTAGATAGGTGGTAATTCCTAAAGTCATATAAAAATAACATTTTTACAACAACAACATTCTAGATGTGAAATTGCCTGTCAATCAACATCCACCTTTTTCAAAACAAATTCCTGATGCCCTGAAAGACCCATTGGACCACACACATATATATCATAAAAAAAAAAAAATCTTAAACCATATGTATAACATATCTGACTGACTAACTTCTATTTTTGAGAATAATGTACAGCTACAAAATAAGAAACTGTTTGTTTATTCCATCAAGACTTATTTTTTAATCCAACACATAGGTCTCAAAAAGAAACCAGAACATCACCCCAAAAATCTGGCATAATGTAGCACTGCCATTTTATTTATCACGATACAGTTGTGTTTTGTTAAACAGTAAATTACCAACAGTGAAGTGTTGCACAGTGAGATATTGTTTGTAACTGAACCAGTGATTTATATGTATTGCAATATGTGTTAAAAGTTACATGAAACTACCATACATTTATTTCTCTATTATTGTTTTTATTATAAAAGAAAAAACAGAGATACTGTGATACACTGCTAAATAATTTTCTTTTAACTATCTGAAAACTCAGCAAGATCAAATAATCTTTTTTTTATTTTAGGAAAAACATCAAAATGTAAATTTAAAAGAGCTTTTTGATGAATTGATGAAAGAAGTGGAACAAACTAAACTTTCATTGAATAAGGAAAAAAACCAACATAAGCAAGCTGTTCATCACCTTGAACAATTGAACAAAAATCTGAAAGATGAAAATTCACATTTAGAGCAGAAGTTCAGAACAGAAAGTATGTTCTTGCTGAGTTGATGTTTGCTAATTGATTAATGGGAAAATTCAAAGATTTGGAGTTTTTGACGTTTTGATATCAGTTATTGTTTGCTTGCAGAGATATGAATGTGAAGTATGTCATATATGTAGGCATAGGTTTTTCAACTGTATAACATACAGAATTTTAATATTTATTTTCTTGCTGTCTTTTTGTGTTTACTTTAGAATTATGTTGAGTGTTAGTGAGGAAAAAATTATTCCTTGTGTTTACAAATAGGAAAATTAAACTATGTTTGTGTTGCATGTTTTATTTTTCACTTACACTATAATACATTTTGCAAAATTAGTACTTAAGCTTAAAAACGTTGTACTTAAAATTATCTTCAGAATAATGCCCCTAAGTAAGATGTTTAACACAAGGTACATCTAATATTCTGATACATATATGAATAAATGTATATTTTCATAGTCACAGAGTAAAATTTCCAATTAATTTTTGTGTGTATTTAAATGTTAAATATTCAGTTAGTTAATAAGTACCGTAATTGCCAAAGATATAAATTGTACATGCAACTACCATCATGTGCCTTTTTTATATATGAAAGCAAGCAGCACAAAGAAATTCTGGAAGCTGCCAAATGATTCCTGTAGAATGTTCTCAACTTCAGTTTTCACTGACTGACTATTGATGCCATGAAAATTTGTTGTTGATGACTAATGTGTTAATTGTTGATATTACTTGATCACTGTGGCATGTTGCATATGTGGTATTTTTAAGTGAAACTGATTTTTCTGAGAGCGATGGGATAAGCCCACTGAATAACAGGAGATTTGTCAAGATATCTATCACAGTGTAATTCTGAATTCCCTAAATGAAGTCCATTAGAATGAAATAAGGAGACTGGACACAATGTAAATCACAAACACAGTGTGTGTACTTGTTTGTTTGCCAACGACAGTCACTTTTACTTGATCAGAGATAACTTCTGTCAGACTGACTTGACCAAGGTCATCTACCAGACTTTAAACCTGAAGATGCCTATTTCAAAGTTAACATCATAACTTCAAAGCATCACCTGACCTCCCATTGGAAGTCACTGCTTTGATATTCTTGCAGAATGTGCAACATTACTCCATACATTCCATGGGCAGACCAAGTTTACCTCTGCTTATATTCCATGAATTTGGCTTCCTTTTGTTTTCAGTCACTTCAATATTTGGTGCACTTTGAACAGAACTGTATCTCTTAACATTCGCTGGTTAACCCTCTAACTATGGACAGGTTAAAGTGTGCATGTCATGACATTTTTAGAGAGTTACATTGAAAATTTAATTAAACTACTTTATTATCATTATGTATGAATAAACTTGGCATTTAAACATAGTTAATAAATCAAATTTTAATGGTAAAAGTTGACAAGTTTAGCTGAATTTTTAAAGGCTTGTATTGTATAGTTATAAAGCCAGAAAAATATGGCATTTATAGGACATTGTTTGCTCTGTGCATTTTTTTATTCTGTGTTCATAGGTCATTATTAATTAAATAAACATTATTTAGTATAGTAGCACTATTAATATAAAAGGCTTAAGTTTCATTGATAGTCAACAGCAAAAAAATTAGACCCAGATAAGTACTGTATTCCTTTTTTTTCACACGTAGTCTCTATTTATTATTATAAAAGTTACTAAAATGTGAATTATAAACTTATTAGGTTAGATGAGGCAAGGTAATTAAAAATATTATTAATGATAAAAATTCTTCATGAGATATGCTCATGAGCAGCTTGTGCATTATGTAATTCAATACGGTAATGTAAGCTCCTCATTCGCTGGGTGATTTACAACTTGTGTTGTGGGATTATTAGTTAGACGTGGTTCAAAGAGCAATAAAACAATAAAGTTAAATATAAACAGATATAGATTGCTATGAGCTTTAAGCTATTTAGGATAAACAATTGTATGTAGATTGTGTGTTCATGGTGATTACTAGGTCGGTCAAATCAACTGACTCTCTATAGAGTTAGGGTATAGAAAGTAACAGATAGTATATAAAGCTTTTTAAAAAACATATTTTATATTTATGTAGGAGGATTTAGAGATTATGCAAATGAAATTTGAAGATTTTCAGATAAAGAAAAGTACTTTTAATCTTAAACTGAAAGTCACTTTGCATTTGGAGCAATCAAAACTTTGACTCCATATATTCACAGACAAATTTTTAGAAACAATACTTAATCAAAAAATTCTGATTTTTTGTCTACTAGAAACTTGTAACACTTACTGAAAGCTTGTGAACTTTCGTGAAGATACACAAAACATTATAAGCTATAGTATGGAAACTGATGGTCACTTTGGGGTCACGAAATTCGTGTAATTCACTGAGCTCATACTGAGAAGGTTAAGGATTGGTATGTTTTTGAAGCACACATGGCTTATTTTTGCTGCAAAATCTCACAAAGAACAAAGACTATTAGAACAAAAACAACTTAATGATTTTCTGGATCACATGTTATGTGAAAACTTAACATCCCAGAATAACTTAGAAATTTGGGAAAATACTGTATTAAAATGAGAAGATAGAAAATGCATGGTATGCTTATAAACCACACATGTAAGTGTATTAAGAGATCAGGGGGCATATCTACGGAAA